AAAAAAAAAAAAAAACACAGAACAAATAAAAACAGCCTCTGTATTCAGTAGGTATGCAGGGAAATTAGTTTATAGACAACCCAGTTTCATTTAGAAGAGGTAGGTAAAGTTCAAAAAAGTTTGGAAACGTGTTAAATGACTAAATATTCCAAAGTTTGTACAAGATTAGTTTTAGAATAGTGTAAGACCTTGGAAACTTGAATGGTCAAGAATATGACCAATGGGGACCAGCAGTTAGCATAATGGCTATGTTGCTGGACTCCCATGTAGTCAACCATGGTTCGAGTCCCGGACCTGGTGGCTTAAAACTCACGTCAGGTGCATGTGCGTACATGCCCAAGATCCCGAAAGGAGAATGGAGGAGAAGGGATTGAAGCATGGCCATCCCCTCTGGGGGGTGATTTCTCACTTTCTGTCTCTCTGTCTCTGTCTGTCTGGCGAGTGCATGTGCCCTATAGCAAAAATATCTCAAAAAAAAAAAAAAAGAAAAGAAAAAGAATATGACCAATGACTAGATGGTTAAGGTAAATAGGTTTTTCAGAGATGTGAGGCAGAATGGGATTCATCTTGATAGTCTCATGGGAGAAGTGAGTAACAAATTTAAGGTGGGTGTGTAGAGCCCCAGAAGACTGCTTTCTGGCAATGTGCTTAAGGCAATGTGGTAGCACCCATGAGTGAAGGACTCTTGAATAGAACATCTTACACAATGGGAACACTTATAAGGGCCTCTGCCCACTGGAGACAAAGCAATGTGGTAGGGTAGGCAAGTGAGGAAGGTGTTCTTTCACCCAGAGGAGGAAGCAGCTGTCTCTTTGGAGTTTTGTGTTGTTAGAGCAATCGAAAAGCAAGGTGAGAAGAGGCTATCACTTCCTCAATATACCCTGACTCTCGACTCAGGTTCACTTCTGTTATGAGCTCCATGGCCATACCCTAGACTGATTCATCACTCAGAATGAACCTGCCCTGAATTCTAAACACCAATATTTCACTTTATAATCCCTGCTTCCCCTACTTTTCCAATTCCCTCACTCAGCTTTTTCTATTCCTCGTCTCTCACCTATTAGGAGTCTCCACTTTCTGTCCATGTAGCAGTGTCATATCTTCTTTCCATTTCCCACTTAGTCCTTAAAGTCCCTTGCCTTTCACTTCAGACATTCAATAGCTTAGCTACCCTGCACACTGTCTCTCCATTCATATGCCTGGCAAACTTCTATCCTGGATGAAGTCAACTGTTATTTCTGTACCTACATCTGGTTTTCTGAGTACCACCTGAAAAAAAATCACACAAGTGGGAAGATTGGTACCATGCTCTCCACATATTTTCAAGTACAATTGCATAAAGGTAAAACATGAATAAAACTCATTTTTTTAAATTACAACAATATATAGAATAAAAGGAATTCTCCTTCATCTCCTCCTCTAAGACAATTCCCCCAAAATATCTGCTCTTAATAGTTCAGTATATGTTCTATTTATGCATTGTTGTCTGAAATATACATAGCTATACACACATACCTGTACACATAAACACATATACAAATATATATGAAAGAAGTCTTCAAAAATTTAATGCATATTATGAAAAAATATTCATTATCTTAAATATGTACAGATATACATATGTACCTGTACATTTAAACACATATACAAGTATATATGAGAGAGGACTTCAAAAAGTTTAATGCAGGGCCAACAGGTGACATGGTGGTTGGGGAGCTGGACTCCCACATGGCTGACCATGGTTTGAGTCCTGGACCCAGAGGCTTGTTTTCTCCATTTCTCTCTCTCTCGACAAATTAAGCAATAATAATGATAGGGACCAACAGATGGTATAATAATGGTTATGTCACTGGACCCCCTGGTAGTCAACCACATTTTGAGTCCTGGACATGATGGTTTGAAACTCATGCCAGGTACATGTGCGTGTATGCTCAAAATTCTGAAAAGGAGAATGAATGAGAAGGGATTGTGGCATGGCCATCCCCTGGGGGGGGGGGGCGATTCTCACTTTTTGTCTCTCTCCGTCTTTCTGGTGAGTACATACACCCTATACAAAAATAACTCTCTAAAAAAAGAAAGAATAATGATAAATAAAATAAATAATTATCTTTAAAAAGTTTAATGCATATTATGAAAAAAAATTGCATGGATTTCAAAATCCTTCCATCAAAATAAACTTAAATTCAATTTTTCCACAAACTTTTTGAAGTGAGTATGCAAGGTGCACATGTGTGTATATAAACACACATACACACACACACAGATACATACATAACTGACAGGAATAGATCACAGTGGACACTTTGCTGGTCAACTGGTATTTTTCTATTCTACAAAATGTTAGGCATTTTTTCCCAATAGTACATATATACTTTATTCTACACAATATCCCTTTCCCTAACTTGCATTTATTTTCTATCATTTAACTTAACACTATGCAACAATGTTATAATGAACATCCTTACACATGAACACAAGCACAAATATTTACCTAAAGTGGATCTCTAGAAGTGGAAACTCGTGATTAATAGATGTATGTACGGGGACCAGCAGTTGGTGTAATGGCGATGTCACTGGACTCCCATGTAGTAGACTGCAGTTCGAGTCCTGGACCCGGTGGCTTAAATTCACGCCAGGCGAGTGTGTGTGAGTGCCCAAGATCCCGAGAGAATGGAGGAGAAGAGATTGCAGCATGGCCATCCCCACTGGGGACTGATTTATCACTTTGTCTCTGTCTTTCTGGTGAGTGCATGTGTCCTATAGCAAAAAACTCTCAAAAAATGTATATACTTAATGATTTGATAAATATGTCTAAATCGACATCCAAAAGTAGGAGGGGGAGACTGTACCAAATTGCCTTCCAAACTGCTAGGAGTGTTACCACCCCCAGTTGAGCTCTCCTTTTTCCTTCTATAGACATCTCTGTTCCTCATTCTCCAAATAAGTTATCATTGCTCAAACCTCCTGTTGTACCACCAACACTGGCATCCCCACCCAAACACACAATTCTCCCCAATAGCTCACCAACTATTTGCAGAGCAAACAGAAGTCAGAGGAATTCTCAGCTTCCTAACTCCAAGACTCCAAACTCTACTAGCCACCCTCACCCATTCTGTCCTCCTTCCCTCTTATTGTAATGGTGGGAGGGGGGGCACAGAGGTGGATGAGGTGCACAGGGGGGGTGGCATGAGAAGCAATCTTTCCTCCAGTAATAGTAATCTGGTTGTGAGCATTCTTCCCCTTACCAAGGACTGGCTACATTTTGCCTAAAGGTCTCCACTTTCACTCTCTCCCTAGATAATCCCATTTTACCTTATCTTCTGCCCTCACTTCTCTACCCAAGCCCTAGGTTCATCCGGGCAGAATCAACCAAACTCCTTCAGATAGGGATCTTAGACGACTACTGCCCACTCCTCTTTGTTTTATAATTTTTTTTTTAAGATTTTTGCCTAGGGCACCTCATTCTGTCGGGATTTGGGGCATGCATACCACGTACCTGGGGCCACTTTCAACCCGATGGTCTGGGACTTGAACCCCAGTCAGCCCCATGGGAATCTAGCACTTTAAGCACTGTCGCCACCTGCTGGACCACTCCTCTTTCTTAAGACAGTCTTGATAATGCCGCTCTCCTGATTTCCCTCTTTGGTCTCTCCAGCATTTCTTGTCCCTTCTATTTCCTCAAACTCTTCGTCAAAACCTTAATGCTGCAGTTGGTGGTTTCCACTCTGGTCCCATCTCTCCCCTGGAAGACGTCACCCACGCCCCCTTTCAACCTTCATCTCCCCTCTGTAGCCTTCCCTCTTGCTGTCTATTCTCAGCCCAGGCCCACGACTCGTTCTAACTTCAACCTCTCCTTCCTTCCATTCCTTCCATCCACCCCCACCCCCAAACTCGAAGAAAAACTTCTAGGGGAAGTCTTCCCTGACTCCTGCCCCTTCGAACTCCGCACACGCGCTCGGTGTCCACTGGCCACGTGGCTCCAGTACCTCGCAGACCTGAGGAATGTAGTTCTCCTTGAAGTAGTTCCTCAGCCTGGGATGGGCAGTGCGTAGCGAGGCCATGGTCAGAAGCTTCCCCGGAGGAGCTGGACTTGTCGCGTCCAGAGCTGCAGGCGAGGCTGCGCGCGTCGCGGATTGCCCCGGCAACCACGGGGCGGAGCACGACGGAGCTACGGGTTCCCCCGACCCCTGACCCGGGGGGAGGAGAAGGGGCCGGGCCGTGCGCCCCAGCAGGCTGGACCCCGGAAGGAGCCTGGGGAAGCGCGAGGCTGCGGCGCCAGGCGCGCCGCCCACGTGCAGCGCCGTAGTCCAGCTGCCCTCACTCCGCCCGCCGCCCGCCAACCTGCGGGAAGCTGCCGGGACGCGTCGGGCTGAGTGGGAGGTTTTGCGATTGGAACTGGGCTGTTTCCGGGAGGCGGAGCTCAGGCCCCTTTCCCCCATTTCCTCACTCTGCAGCTGGGTCGCGCTCTGGAGGCACCAGGACCCGCGTGTGTTGGAGACCCCGCGCCGAGCCTGGTGCGCAGAGCATGGGCGGCGCCCGGGGCGTGGGCTGGGTGGCTGCCGGCCTGGTGCTCGGGGCCGGCGCCTGCTACTGCATTTACAGGCTGACGCGGGGCTGGCGGCGGCCGCGGGCTCGGGCTGCGCCGCTCGCGGTCCGCAGGTGAGACACGGGGGCAGTCCCAGCCCGGTGTGGGCCGAGGACGCCGCCGGCACTCGGGGCTTCCCTGTCTTCAGAGTGAAAAAAGGAGCTGAACGGGGGCCGGGGGAGGGTCGCCTCGTGAGAATAGCGAGTGGAGAAACTCAGGTGGAGAGGCGGGGCGACCTTTAACTTGTGTGGGTGGAGGGCCTTGAGCTCTCTCCTGCGTCCTCTTTGTTCAAAATCCGGGAACGGAGAACTGCACGAACTCTCCACCCTCAATCTGCCATCACTTTGACGAGGTCTTTCAAAAGCGCATTCATCAACCTTAAAGCATGCTCTGGGTCTGGGATTCCCATGATTTGGGGGGAAGGGCTGTGGTGGGGCCTGAAACCATAGGTGACATTCTGCGAGCGGTTACCCTGGGAGAAGGGACACCAGAGGGGCAGTTCTGCCTGAACTGGGCCAGGCCTCTGAAATGCATCTTGGGGTGTGTGTGTTGGAAGTTGTAGCAGTTATCTATGTGAGGCATACTGTCATGCAGATACGTTTTTGTCCAAAAGCTGACTGGTACATCGAAAATTCTAAGTTTGCTGCATGTTCTAGAGGAATTTATCAGGTCTTGAAAACTGTTAGGGAAATTATTAAAATTTGCCAACCAAGAAATCACTTCACAAATGCGAAAAAATACAAAGCAGCTTTACTATCGAATAAACATTAAATTAGATCGCATATTACAGGCAATCTACTAAATGAAAGATTTGTGGGATGGGTTATGTTCAAGGATTTCATATTATGTGCTTATTCTTGAGTTAACCGGTAATTTGTCCTTAAAAGAACTTGACAGCACCGTTTGCTATAACATAGTATAGCCTAAATTCCTAGGTAATTGGGACACTTATTTGGGTTAGTTAATTGCCTTTAGGTAGAGACAAAATTAGGCTTATAGCTATGAAAAGCAACTAGTGGAACCAGTAGATGGCGCAATGGTTACATTTCTGTATTCCCACATAGTCGCCTGAGTTTGAGTCGCGGATCTGGTGAGTTAAAACTCATGGTTAGCCTGTGTGCTTGCGTGGAGTGATTTCTCCTTTTCTGTGTCTCTAGGGAGCACAGTGTCCTATAGCAAAAATCTCTTACTAAAAAGGGAAGTAGTTACAACCAGTAACTAGGTGCCTGGTCTAAATTATCAGAGATGGAGAAGTTGGAATTCTGTCTTCCTTAATGTTTACATTAAAAAGCCATGGCACCCAAGCCCTTAAGAAAGATGTTCTTAGGTTGTAAAACTCCAAAGGAGCTAACTTGGCTATTTAAAAGATGTACTTTTAGGCCCAGCGAGTGGAGTGGTGGTTAAGGCACTGGAATTCCCACCCCTAACCACCATGCCACCTGCCGGCCCCAAAGAAGCATCATTTTAATAGATGGAGAATGGTAATGTAGGAAAGAGATGAACGGGCCAGAAATAAAAAGATCTGGATTTTGGAGTCAGAACCAACTGTGTGTACTATTAATAAATTATACCAGGAACTCACAAGAAAATGCTTTAAAGTAGGTCCTATTAACTCTTATTTAACGTGTAAGGAAGCCAAGCAAGAGATTATTTCTTATCTGGTAAATAGTTTATTAAGAATTGAACTAGCCATTTGAATTGTGGGCTTGGCTCACCTTTACCTAGCGCCCTTCAAGTGAAAATCTATGATTTAATAGTGCTTGTACTAAAAGTTTATTTGGCTGTTTATAAAGAATGTGTACATCTATAAAACCTGTTTTAAATGGTCATATGGGGGAAATCTGTAAGAAAATAATAGGATTTTGAAATATCCAAGAAGTATGAAAGAGTTAAATTTATCACATTTCTGCTCTGTGCATGTGTGTGTGTAAAAATCATACAACTTCAGAGCTGTATAGGAACCTTTTTAGCCGGGTTTACTCTTAGACCAACTCTTTTATTTACAGATGAGAAAATTGAGTCCCAAAAATGCATTAAATGATTCGTTTACAATTTTGTATTTTCATCTCTTTATTGTCTTCTATGAATTAACTGTAATTTTAGGAAAATCCTTAGATGATACTGGCTGAAGTATCTTGTATAAATTGAGAAGTTTGGATGAAACTCAAATTCTTTTCACTTAAAAATCTGTCTTCTTGTCCTTTCATTGATTTTTTTTCAAGTTTTACTTGGGTGAAACTTTTTATAACCATTAAATGAGGCAGATCATGGATTCAACAGTAAAAGCAGGGTCCAGAGGTCCTGATTGTAAGACTTTGTAGTGAAAATCTGCTGGCTTTTTAACTTGAAGTTTTCTTTTTTTAATTAATTAATTATTATTTTTTGGGGGGGGGAGAGATTTTCACTATAGGGCGCATGCACTCGCCATACAGAGAGAGACATAGAGACAGAAAGCGAGAAATCATCCCCTGGGGGGATGATCACGCCACAATCCCTTCTCCTCCATTCACCTCTCGGGATCTTGGGCACACACACACATGCGCCCGGCGTGAGTTTTAAGCTGCTGGGTCCGGGACTTGAACCGCAGTCAACTACGTGGGAGTCCAGCGACATAGCCATTACACTAACTTCTGGTTCCCTTAACTTGAAGTTTTCTTAACAGTAGATTCCTTAATTGTCTTCCTCAGGACACTGTATCGCTTATTGTTTTTCATAATCTGTGCTTGTCCCTTCCCTCATTTTTTTCTCTTTTGTGATTTGTCCTCAAGCAATATGTGTATTATTTTAGTTAAAGGAATAATACATGTGTAAAAAAATTAGAAAGTACTCATGAACATTGGGTAGAAATCAAGTCATTTGTAATTCTAAAATAAACGCTTTAAAAAATAAAAAAGTATTATTGGGGTCAGCAGGTGGTGTGGTGGTTAAGACACTGAGCTTCCACATGGTTGACCATGGTTTGAGTCCCAGACCTGACAGCTTGTTTTCTCTGTCTCTTGTCAAATTGAATAATAATAAATAAATTTTAAAAACTGAGTAAATAATTCTTTAAAAAATAAAATGAAATACCATAAAGAAGTATTATTTATTTAATGTTATTTGTTATTATTATTACCAGAGAGAGAAAGTGAAAGTGAAAGCAGATTGGATATTCAAACTGTAGTTGGCCATGTGGGAGTCCAGGACCACAACCACTATGCTACCTGCTGGCCCCCAAATATTTAACAATTATGTGTATAGAAAAAGAAAAGAAAGGGAAAAAAAAAAAACACACACAGATGTGGCAGCATTTAGCAGCTATCATTGAATAAACCCCTCCACACACACACACAGAGCAGTAATAGTGCCATAAAAGGTTTCTTTTTCTCCTATAGTGATTTGTAGTTAAAGATACAGATTCTAAAAATCATTGTGCAGACCCAGCACTTGGCTATTTTAGCTTTTGCACAAAATGACACTTTCCATATGTCATCACCACTAGCAGAACTGGTTTTCTAGCACCCCAGTCTTCATACCTTGTTCCTATAAACCAAACAAAATGCCACCCCCGCTGTATAATTGCATTACTCCTACCCTAGTTGTATAATTGCGTTACTCCTATAGTTTTTTCCTATGTGATGTGCTCTTAATTTTGCAACTAAAACAGTTCTATGTAATATAAATCCTATTTCTTAATTAACCTTGACCTCTAGGCAAATGTTGATTGGATGGTTGTTCTTGATTTTTTTTTTTTTTAATTAAAATAGGTTTTTTGTTAGAGGAGAGAGAGAGAGAATGCGTGCCAGAGCCAGCCCTCCCCAATGGCTCATAGTCACACCACAATAATTTTTCCTTCATTTCTCCTTCCCGTCAGGATTTGTGGCCGGATTAAATCATGGTGAGCAATGTAGGATCTGGCTCCCAATGCACAGCAAAGAATATTGTGCTACAGGGCTGGTCCTGGGTTACCTGCTTTTTAAAAGAAGAAAGTGCTATCTGCCTTCGGGCTATATATTATTGGCATACAGTATCTTACTAATATACTAAGTGACCGTTGGCTAATTCCTTGATATCTGTCAGCCTCAGTTCCCTCCTGTAAATTGAGAATAGTAGTATCTTCTTGCTAGGGTTACTTGAGGATTAAACGAGATAAAGTGTGTAAAATGCGTAATACTGTGCTTGGCATCCAAGTATGCAGTCAATGTTATCTTTAAAATTTCAAAAAATACTCCTGTTGATTTTTAGATGAACTTTAAATAACTTTCCTCTTATATATAGAAGACTTAACTGATGGTTCATGTGATGATGTCCTTAATACTGAACAACTTCAGAAACTCCTTTACCTGCTGGAGACCACTGAGGATCCTGTAATTATTGAAAGAGCTTTGGTCACATTGGGTAACAGTGCAGCATTTTCAGCTAACCAGGTAAGTACCCTTGTCTCAGCAAACAAGCTCCTTCTATTTCTATTCACCAGCAGTAATCATGACCCTCG